TTCGACGGGAAGGCTCACCTCAAAGGATATGCTACTGCTGGAGGAGGGTTACCCCACAGGGGCGCAAACATAGCTGGCACGATTATCATCCCCCGGCATGGTTCTGAAAATGTAGAGGTTTCGCGGACAAATCTAATCGAAATAATGAACGAAATGATGGAGGTTCAGCCCGGCGGGCCTTCCATACTTATACTGCTCATTGTATGTAGTTATTGAATATCGTACTCGCAACAGGGTCAAGCACAAGTATCTATCTATGCGTGTTCCCCTTCTACTCTTTCCTCGTGTGTAGCCTCGGTTAGGGCGTGAAACATATACCGAACCGTATAGACGGGCGCCCAGAAAAAATGGCATGACTCACTCCCCACTCCGCGCCACGTGTTGGCCTATATCGGGGAATCGTTATTTTGCACCCGAGATCGTTCTGCCTCTCTTGGCTAAACTCAGGACCACAGACTATGTTGAACGTGGTAACTACGTACTATACGTGGCGCCTTTTGGTCCAACCCCAGGTGTAATCCTACATGGATGTTGGGTTCTATTGGTCCGGCTGCAAGGGCATGCGTAGAACAGGAGGGTTCCAAGACACTGAAAACTGTATCGAAACAGCTCTGATACTCCGACCATGGAGATTTTTATTTGTTCGTTCCTCTACCTCTTGGTTAGGCCCTGGGCGGGCCTTGTTACCGTAAACTAGTGGGTTGCTCCAAGCACGAAGCATTCGAAGAGGATCTCACGATAAGTGTACCAATATGTACTATTTGGACCTGTTCGCACGAAAAGAAAGGTTTTCCCAAGCGGAACGGGCTCCAGCAGCAGCATGTGCCTGTCGAAGCAGCATGTGCAACACAGCAGTATCGCTCCGTTCCTTGAACGACTTCGATTCTTCGTTCCGTGGCGACTTCCGCAAGGGACGAGCTATATTTCACGCGCAGTACCCTCTTAAACCAAACTTTGATCGTGTGGACGTTTGCGCAGGAGCTATATTCGGCGATGCAGACTCTACTATTCACATCAAAGGATCAACGTTCTCGGACAACACGGCCAACCGCGGAGGTATGAAACGGTCGTGGGGCGATGGGCTATTTGTGCGGGAAAACGCCAACCACGAGGATAATTCCGCGGACAGGGTCTAAGCACCGGAATCGGGGTTCTCACGCGGAGGTGGACGAATCTGAAACGCGGGATGTCGTTATCGCAGTTGTGCTATTTGCCGCAGGTTGGCTTGATCCTCGTGTCTCTTGGTCGTTTCGCCCCTTAATGCAGGCGCTATCTTCTCGTTATTCAACTCCGTTGACGTGGAAGGAGTCCAATTCGCGAACAACACGGCTGCCGAATCTGGAGGTGGGACGTGGAAGGAATGGTCACACTAGAATCCCATTAGCATGTCCAAGTACCTAATTTATCTCGTTGTTGTTGCTGCGATAATGACGTACAGTAGATGCCTACCGTTCGGTGGTGCACCGTGTCCGTCCTTGCATTGGTCCCTCAAGCGAAAAAATCGTCGGGCCCATGAAAATCTGAACCAAGCGAGGGGTTGAGCAAAGGTTTGTTCGGCCATTTTTATGCGGCAAGTTTTCATCATGTTTCGTACTTGTGACACGAACATATTGCTAACCTTCGCGGTGAAGAGGATTCAAGTTGCCCAAACTGTTCCGTTCGGGCGTCTCAACGGCGAGTGGCCAGAAACCGCCACGATTGATGACGTCATCTCACCCGGCAGTGCCCTCAATGTCCATCCCCAGGTGCTCTTTACGTCGCAGAAGCAAGTGTAGTTTCGATAAGCAACGCTTCGCGCTTCGAGTACAACGTAGCTTTGGGTGGTGCAGGAGGTGACTGGATATTTGGTCTAAACGTGGCACACACTAACAGCTCAGTTCAGGCGGTGGTCAGCGTGGTGACCGCCGTTTGCTCGCCTTTTTCGGCGTATCAGCGATAGTCTAGCTTTTCAGAGAAATAACGCCTGTGAGTCGAGTATCGGCGAGCATTTTGCGGTAGTGTACAAACACGTGCGTGGGTGGATCGAGATCGGCGCTGTTTAAGGGGTCGGCTGTTGCTTCTGGTTCCATGAACAATATTTTGCAGAAACGCACACAGGACCAAATGGTCCAGATCCCATGTTAGATGACCTGTCGCTCAGCGAGCGCCTTGGGAACGACAAACTACACTATTGTAGCTCGAGGCCATATGTACCGTTATGCTACGCAGATTCAGAGATGGGCAGTGAGCATGTTGCTGACACCGCTTGTCATCTGGGTCACGGCTGGTTTTGCCCAGGAGCGATGCTCGGCAGCAATATCACCACATTGGCCACCAGTGGCGTGTCCACGTTTTATCGGAACTCCGCCGTTACTGCAGGAGGTGAGGGCAGCAATGATCGAAAAATGTTTCCAGCTGAGCCTACGACATCACCTTTCAGAGATGACACACACCTCAACAGGCGTTTGAAGGCACTGCGCATGACACGTCGTGTGTGACTCGTGGTTCCGGTGGTACTGCCGCACTGTTTGTAGGAAGAGGGTTAGGGTAGGGAGAGATAGAACGATTCCGCACGCGAAAGCCGCCATGAAACCAGCAGAGGCGCTCTACTTCACCTATTCCTCGTTTCAGGTGCACTATTCACCATGGGGTGCGATACTAACATTGGCGACGAAGCATTGGCGACGAAGCAATGTTCGAGCTCAACTCGGCTGGGACTTTTGGAGGTGACGTCAGTGCCGCAATGTGTCTATAGGAAAGACAGGGAGATATTTAGGGTAGGGAGATATAGGTCTATGCCGCACGCGTAAACCGTCATGCGCCCAGCAGCGGGGCTCTGCCTTTCCATTTTCAAGCAGGCCCACCTTCCTCTGAAAACAGGTGCGATTGGAGCGGAAAGGAGCTCTCTCACGATCGGGGATCTACCAGGAAGTCGCGTAACCTTCGCGAACAACACAGCCATTTCCGGAGATGGAGGTGGAGCGAGTGTGCAGTGCTCTAGGCACTTACGGTAGCTCATATCGCCGCACTTCTTCCAACAATGATCCTGACCTTCACAATACCTAGGGTGGACATCGCACGCGCTCACTACATAAGTCGCACCCTCCACGCATGGCCGGTACATCCCTTCCTTGTACTTTCTTCTCGACCCGGATTCTTGTAATTGGCTTGTTGTATTGCCCCCCCCCCCCCCCCCC